CGGGTCAGTTATAAATGAAAGCCATCAGCATGCAGACTCCCAACCTAAGACTGTGGGTCCGACAAGTGTATAGCTATCGTAGCATCGATCCCCCAACTGAAAAGTTGTACCTCGTGAGGAAAAAACTGGGGGGAAAGGGGGAAAAGGGGGGGGGGGGGGTTATGTGTGTGAAAAAAAAATAGTGTTGTAATCAATCTGTAGTGACCAAGAAGTTGTGACTCTAAACAAAATATAAACAAGCATGACAAAGTATCACACAGGTAGGCTTTGGTTGGTTGAGGACCCTTGCTCCTTCGGGCAGGGGTAGGAAGAAGAATCAGAAGTAGAAGGAGGAGGTTGATGAGGAAGAAGAGTGAGCAGAAGAATGAGGAGGCTGATGAGAAGGGGGTGGAAGAGGGAGGAAGAGGGAAGAAAAGAAGAAGAAGAAGAAGAAGAAGAAGAAGTTGTGAAGAAGAACAAAAGAAGAAAAAGAGAAGACAAAAGAAGAAGAAGAAGAAGAAGAAGAAGGTGAGACAGAAGAAGAGGAGGCTTTGGTTGGAGGAGGAGGACCCTTGATGAAAAGAAGGAAGAAGAGAAGAAGAAGAGAAGAAGAAAAGAAGAAGAAGAAGAAGAAGAAGAAGAAGAAGAAGAAGAAGAAGAAGAAGAAGAAGAAGACAGAAGAAGAAGAAGAAGAAGAAGAAGAAGAAGAAGAAGAAGAAGAAGAAGAAGAAAACACGAAGAAGAAAGAAAAAGAGAAGGAAGAAAGGAAGGAAGAAGAATCAGAAGTAAGAAGAAGAGGAGGTTGATGAAGGAAGAAGAAGTGAGAGCAGAAGAATGAGGAGGCTGATGAAAAGGGGGTGGAAAAAGAAGAAGAGAAGAAGAAGAAGAGAAGAAGAAGAAGAAGAAGAAGAAGAAGAAGAAGAAGAAGAAGAAGAAGAAGAAGAAGAAGAAGGAAAAGAAGAAAAAGAATAAGAAGAAGAAGAAAAGAAGAAGACGAAGAAAAAGAAGAAGAAGAAGAAGAAGAAGAAGAAGAAGAAGAAGAAGAAGAAGAAGAAGAAGAAGAAGAAGAAGAAGAAGAAGAAGAAGAAGAAGAAGAAGAAGAAGAAGAAAGAAAATAATAGACCGAAATGGGAGCACCATATCTCATCTACTATCAATCGTTCATGTATAAGTGTAGTGCCGTGTGGTAGATTCTCCTAGTATGATGCAAGCTTTTGAAATTCCGCCTCTTTAATGTTTAAACTGTTTGTTGATTATTCTGCTTATGTCGCCCCTTTACGGTGCCGTCTGATGCGAGCGAATCTCTGTATCATAGCATGGCACGGCCCTGTATACGTGACTATAATATATGGAGAAACTACACACGTTTAAAAAAGTGGAGTTTAAGCGTACAATAACTTAAACAAACAAATAAAAAACGTGATTTTTCTGTGACAGACTTAAATATAGAATGCGCGCTGTCCCGACTTTTACGAAGTAGCTTACAGCACACGGAGAGAGGGTTAACCAAAGAAAGCGGATTACACTTGTTTGTTTTCATTTTAACCGCACTGATAGAGTGGCCACATTTAGACTGGCACTGGTGTAAAAGAAAAGTCTGGGAATAACAACATAACATGAAATCGATAAACCTAAAATACATGCTCTAGCCGGTGGAGACTGGCAAGCCACGAGGAACCAAAAGCCACGTTTCCAAGGACACATGATGCTGCCAGCACGTGGATGCCTTGGTCAGGGGTTGGTTCTACCAAACAAACTCTGCAAAAAAGATTACCATCAACCGTTTCCTGGATCCGAAAATAGTCTCCCATAACTCTGCGTCAGTCCACCCATAACGAGAGATAAGGGAAGACCGTGGAGACACGTATATCAGGCTACAGTATAATTCTGACATCACAATGTGGCTATGTTTAGCAACACCATATTTCCAACAGTTAATGATTTAACAGTGGCATGTTTTGCTTCGCTCTTTCATCATCATCATCATCATTCTGTCGAGCTGCGTGTACGTTACATAAAGGTTAGATTCCCTTCTTCTTCTTCTTCTTTTGCGATCATCAGCTGTAAAGTCTAGTGGAAAGTTCTGGTTGATCGTCGGCTTCTGAACTTTAGTCTTGTTCCAGAACCCGAGTGTTAAGTGTTGCGTGCAGATCCGTTTAACAGATCTGACGTATTTATATGCAGACTGATTGTCTCTCGGGCAGATACACTGCGACATCCAAGAAAGCTCTCAGTCGACTTTTAAGATACTGATTGTTGGGGAGACAGTAGGTCTATTCTGCCGCCCCCTTTTTTCCCTACCCAAACACACACACACAGAGTAAAGAACCTCTTTCACGCCAATGGCTCAACGGGCACATAAGGCGATGACCATGACTGTTACAAACCAATCGAGATTGGATGCATGATGTGACTAACAATACGTCTCTCGCCTTTACTTCTATGGACACACCTCAGTACCCTGTTTATGCTGGGTAGAACTGAGAGTTACATGTCATCAAATAAGTCGTTGGCATGCAGGTTCAAAAATAGAACCTTTGTGTTGGCAAGTAAAGCATATAACCACTGCAGCTCCATTTCTGATTTGGCACATTTTTTTGTTGTTGCACCTTTTCCTTTTTTAAATTTGGTAACCCTTTGGTCTGTGACTTGAGCATTGCGAACACGCTTCATTTTGTCGAGGTACCGCAAGGCGATTTGGCAGAAAACCGCTTTGTGTTGGTGTCGACACAGGTATCAAGAGCTGACCGTTCAATAAGCAGTTTTAAACTACTGAAAGTAAGTTTGCCTAGAAAAAAAAAAAAAAAAAAAAACCAGCCCAAAATATTCTTGGGCTGGTTCTGCAACGTCCTACAAAAAGCACTTAACTTGCGTTGGTCTAAAGGAGACACCGATCATAAGACTTTCCGGTAAATATTACGCTCGTCTCCCCATTAGCACACTGCTACACACTAGTTTGCTTCTGACTTGACTACCCAAAAATGACGAAAACCTGCGTCCCACATAGGGGCGGCAACATATTCCGTGCTGACACAGAGAAAGCAATAGGTCTGAGGTGCTCCCTCCCCCTTCTACTCTTCTAGGGGACAGGATCTCAGCTTATTTCAATAATAATAATGTTTCAAACGGAAAATAATAATAATATATTTGAAATACTTCAGTATGCCCTAAATTATTTTTTACAAGGGAGAGTGTCGAATTAAGAATCAATATCACAGCACCCGGGACACTCCCATAAGCACTTCGTCCCCATCGTCAGCAGCAAGTGAAGAGTTCCAATTCTGATGGCACCAGTAAATGTCTGATTTTATATCCGTCTCTCCCTTTCCCTGAGTGTTGAGGTTTTGCCAGATCACATTATTAAAAAAGAGATCTTCTGTACATGGTGACAGAGGGAGTAAATTACCACCTTGTAAATTTTCTAAGGAAGGGTTTGGGTGTTTAACTCACTTCAATGAGGTTTCATTGGGGGCCGGGAAAAGGGGGAATTACCTACCTAAACATCTTAATCTTTTTTCCCTAGTATTTTCTTACTTATCCATAATTTCAACATTTCACCTCTTCTGTTTATTTGTCCCAAAACTGTCATGTCACTTTACTTTACACCAGTGATTCCAAAACTGTGCGCCGCAGCGCCCCAGGAGCCGCAACCTCTTCACAGAGGGGCCACAAAATATTGTAAAAGCTTCATAATTAATTTAACCAATACATGATTAGTCCAAGTTTTACTTAGGTTAGGGCGCTGTGGAAAAATTTTGATTGAAAAAATGCGCTGCTGTTAAGAAAAGTTTGGGAAACACCGCCTTGCATTCTTGGTCAGTCATCACAGAATACATGCTACTCCCAATAATGTAGTCTCAGTTTTCTCTGTCCATGATACTAAAGTTTTCTGTGTTTTGTATTGTAGTTTTCTGTTAATGATATTGCATAGTTTTCTATATCTATTATATTGTATAGTTTTCTGTGTGTATGATACTGTATGATTTTCTGTTTTTATGATTTTGCATTGTTCACTGTTTTAAGGATATTGTATAGTTTTCTGTGTTCGGTGATTGATAACGTATCTTAGCAAATTAAATTTCCCTCACCAATTCTTTCAACATGCTGATTTAATGTAATCACGTATTTTCCTTAACTTTTTAATACTTTTTTATACTGGAAAATCAAAATGAAGTTAATCAAATTAAGAACAGTTTCTATTGTATTAAAGGATCAACATAAACCACAAAGCCATATTTATCTCAATCACTGTCAAGTTTTCATTTACATGAACATAAAAATGAACTAATAATGGTTTTACAATGCTAAATATTTAGCATCCAATTAATTATCCTTCCAGAATGAGGTATTACTCCTTAAGAAATTGGAAAATATTTTTACTGTATTAAAAGGGGAAGGATAGGAAACAAAATCAATGAATATAAAGTCAGGGAAAGATTTATAATCTGAGTATGAGAGAGAGAGAGAGAGAGAGAGAGAGAGAGAGAGAGAGAGAGAGAGAGAGAGAGAGAGAGAGAGAGAGAGAGAGAGAGAGATTAAATGAGACAGATAGTGGTCATGTGTGTGTGTGTGTGTGTGTGAGGGAGAGAGAAGTGTGAGTATAAAAGATAGAAGAAAAAAGAAGAAAAAAAGAGGGGGGGGGTGGGGGGTATGAATGGAGATACAGAGAGTGAAAATGGAGCATTTGAATGTGTGAGAGAAAGACACAGAGAGAGAGAGAGAGAGAGAGAGAGAGAGAGAGAGAGAGAGAGAGAGAGAGAGAGAGAGAGAGAGAGAGAGAGAGAGAGAGAAGAGAGAGAAAGAGAATCACTGATTAGCCAGTGTTTTTTAGGAGTGAATTCATTGCATCCACATATCATACAAATTTACAACTTTCCTCTTTTTACTTTTATTCTACCATATTATTCGTTCCTGATTGTTAGTTTCTCCATGTAACACTTGAAGTCTTATCCATCCATCTACTCAATGACATCAACAATCAAACCAAATGTGCAGACATTCATTCATCAACAGGCACTTACCTGGAAAAATTCCAGTGAATCTGGGAACTGTGTTTCTTGAGGTCTGGATCGAAAAACTGTTTAAAAAAAAGCAAGGACAAATTGCAACTAATGAATAACACAACAAGCAATAATTAGCAGGGATACCCAGGGCTTTTTTTAGTGGTAAGCAATGGTACACAGTACCAGTACCTTTTTAAGCCACTATTTTGTTCTGCAATGTTATAATAGACACTTTCTGGTGAACACCAGCATCTTTTAATAAATACTTTAAGGGGGTATAGCTTTTTTTTTCTTTCTAATTGAGTTGAGTTGATTTAAGAACCGACATCATAACAATTGGGGAATTACCATAAGCGATCCATCCCTGTCTTCAGCAACCAGCCCAGAATTCCAATACCAATGGTGCCAGCAGCATTCTGATTATACGTCCGTCTTGTCTTTCCTCTGAGCATTGAGTATCTGCCAGATCCCTTCATTACTCCCCGCTGCATCACTCTGACCAGACTGTGTGATGATTTGCATTTGCTCCAGAAGGCTTAACCACACTGTACACGTTTTCTCTAGAGAGTCCCTAACTGTCCGCATTTCTGCCTTATCATGCCCCGGCAAAAAGATTAATATTCCTCACCCGTGACCTTCGAAGCATGTTGTGCGCAAAGAGCCAGTCCGCCAGTCTGTCACAAAGCCTGTTCATTTCCAAAGACTGCATTCCCGCATGCCTCCACCGTGCAAAAGCAGATTCAGACAGCATGCCAGTCCTCACCCGTGACCTTCGAAGCATGTTACTCTGCACAAAGCACGCCAGTCCTCACCTTTATTTGAAAAAGGCCATGAGGATGACTGTAGTTTTTATAAGTTTTATGTCACAAAGAGCTGTAATTTCCCTGCTTCCTTTCAGCACAATATACACTATCCTTTGGAAATCCACCTATGGTTCAAGGGCCACCTTATAAGAAAATCAAGAACAGATCCAATGCCTTTCCAAGAAGCATGTCCAAGTTAAAGTACATCTGACTGAGAGTCAAGGAACTAAGAGACCAGATACAAATACACCCGATGGGTGAAACTGATGTGCTGGCAACACTCAGATTCTGGAACAAGATTTAAATCTGAAAGTGGACAAACATCCAGAACTTTCTACCGGTGTTTACAGCTGGTGAACCCAAACAAGAAGAATAAGATTAAGAAGAATCCCCTGGGAAGACAGGAAGATGCAAGAAACATTTATTTTCAAGGGACCTGAATACTTAATTGTTCTGTTTTTTTATAATTTGAATTCATTGTTCTGTTTTAATTTTTTTTATACAATCCTCTTTTTCATTTACTTATCTCTTCAGAACCTCTGTGCCGGCTTTAATTTTTTTAACTGAATATGACATATTTTTTCTACAAACGAGTTATCTGGTAAAGAGTTAACCATAGAGAGGGTATAGAGAGGGTAGTTAGAAGCTCCAACCATACTGGATAGTGAGAGTCACTGTGGTGAAGTGGCTAAAATCAACGAATGTAATAAAAAAAAAATACTGAAATCTTTTAAATTAATTAATTAATTGACACTCAAGGAGACAAAATAATTTAGTTACATTTGGCAAAATATGAAGTTACTTACGTTTTTGTAAAACATTACATTTTCTGATGTAGACGCAAGTAAGGGACATAATCTGCAGCTGTGACAGTCGTTGTCGAGACGATTCTGGAAGAGGGAGGAGATCCCTCATGGTGGCGATTTCAGCATTGATCTGATCACGTCTTTGCTTAGATGCGCCTTTGTTAGACCTGCAAGAACATAATCACATTATGTCCAAGCATTAACAAATTAATTATTTCTTCAGCTAAGTAATCAAAGTCAAGAAATGAAGAAGGATGTATTTGTAAAAACACACAGAAACAAGACAAAGACATTGAGCTCAAATCCTATTACAGATATCTTGACATCGACAATCCAAATTAAACCCATTCAAATAAATGTCCAGGACTAAAACTGTTTATGGATAAACAGACTTTGTAAAGGAAAAAACTCAATAACAGAAAAAAAAAATGTAGTTGAAGTAAATGCAATTTTATCGGAGCATCTCAGAATTATAAAATAATTAGATATCTAGAAACTTGTCTCTAAGTGAAGAGCCATTTTCCATCAAATGATACAGGTATATGCTGCTTTATACGTATTTGATTCACTAGTCGACACTCGATAATGAGTGATTTGGTCACTTTTACTTCCCAAAACATTTCCTGATAGAGCTGATATCATCAATGCTGTAAGACTAAGCAGGGGGATAATATTGAATCTCTGTCACTAACTCGATTGCGTGGCCTAAAAGTTAAGCTAGGTGAAGCACGTCTATGTCGTCTTCTAGGTAAAGACAGCAGACACTATAACCAGCTCTTCATGGGAACTATCAATAGAGGTACCCTGGAGTTGCTGCTTCATTGGAGGACTGTGCATTCATGTAGATGTCCAATGTACAAAGACATAGATTGTAATAACATAAAATTCCCGGTATCCATTTTGGGGTGGACAGCCACCGTGGCGTAGCAGCTAGACACTTCTAGTCTGAGGATCGTGTGTTCGGCAAAAATGACCTTGGTTTCAGGTCAACCAGCCCTGAGTGGATACCAAGTAAAGTCCTGGAAAGTAAAGGCGGCCGACGTGATGGTAACCACATCACCCACTGAGTGCCAACTAGTTGTTAAAATACTTGTGAAGAAGGATGTACATGCACAGTGTGCCTATTCTAGTCCTAGGAATGAGATTAATAATAAAATAGCACTTTTACGCAGATTCAAACTGAAGACTTTTAGGTCAGCAGGCAAAGTTTAGTAACTTAGCTACCGGAGTTCACAAACTTTGTCTCTACCTCTTTATGCCACAAAGCAGTTGTAGTTGCAAATATTATATGTCTGAAAAAGAGACTCGATAGGACAACAGAAAAAAAAGAAAATAATATAGAAAGCATGGGTTCACACAACAATTCCCTATGGCAGAATACAGCAGTCACAATGTGCCATCATTTTGTGACCAAGAGAGATGAAGAGGTGCACTAAGAGTGGAGTTCATATTAATCAAGACCTCGTCTACGAACAAAACACTGCAGGCTCAACTACCACAGGTATAAAATAACGACTGTACAGTCCTCAAAGTGTGTCTGTCAGACATGACCACAAATATCTGAGCACATTCTGCAGACCTGCCCACTACTTTCGAAAAAGACACCTGGCCTAAAGAGCAAAGTGTGCAGAGCAAGCTACGAGAAGCCATGCAGGACCTGCAGCTGACATGCGAGTTCATAGACGCAACCCACCTGATGGTCTGACCTGAGCATACGAAATCTAAAGCGAAGAAGGTCAAGACCAATCTACACCTCTCTGCGGCCACCACAGAAACACGTTCCCCGGCCGGTAGAAGACAAAAGAAGCGTGACCAAGACATCGCTGGTTCCAGATCAACTAGCATGCGTTCTTTATTACAGCTCACCCGATGATACTGTTTTATCCACTTCTTCTGTCTTTGTCATTTATAATATTAACCCCTCCTATCTCAATTTAGTTTCTTTTGCTTCTTTTGTCCATAATGGCAGTATTCGAACCACATCAGACTCGGTTATTGTTTTGGGCGTCACCCTAAGAAAACAACTGGTTTAATTAAAAGCTTGCATGGGATTTGGAAGAGTCAAATGGGACGTTTTCTATAAACTCGTCGACTGTAAGATGTACTGCAGTAATTCGTCTAAAAATGTTCAACTGTTACAGGACAGCTTAACATGAAATGTACTACTGTTGTAGGCTTGTTTGACAGGAATATCTCAGATTAGCCGCGCTAGATAAACTAAATAAATAGAACAAGCTGAGACTAATATGTGGTAAACAAATAGGACAATGTGTTAATTCAGATGGGGTTCACAGCGAAGAGCTCTATAACTAATCACAGACAGTAATCTTCTCTAGTTTAACTCACAGACAGTAATCTTCTCTAATGTATGTCACAGACAGTAATCTTCTCTAGTTTAACTCACAGACAGTAATCTTCTCTAGTGTATGTCACAGACAGTAATCTTCTCTAGTGTATGTCACAGACAGTAATCTTCTCTAGTTTAACTCACAGACAGTAATCTTCTCTAGTGTATGTCACAGACAGTAATCTTCTCTAGATTAACTCACAGACAGTAATCTTCTCTAGTGTATGTCACAGACAGTAATCTTCTCTAGTGTATGTCACAGACAGTAATCTTCTCTAGTTTAACTCACAGACAGTAATCTTCTCTAGTGTATGTCACAGACAGTAATCTTCTCTAGTTTAACTCACATACAGTAATCTTCTCTAGTGTATGTCACAGACAGTAATCTTCTCTAGTGTATGTCACAGACAGTTATCTTCTCTAGTTTAACTCACAGACAGTAATCTTCTCTAGTGTATGTCACAGACAGTAATCTTCTCTAGTTTAACTCACAGACAGTAATCTTCTCTAGTTTAACTCACAGACAGTAATCTTCTCTAGTGTATGTCACAGACAGTAATCTTCTCTAGTGTATGTCACAGACAGTAATCTTCTCTAGTGTATGTCACAGACAGTAATCTTCTCTAGTGTAAGTCACATAGAGTAATATTCTCTAGTGTATGTCACAGACAGTAATCTTCTCTAGTGCAAGTCACATACAGTAATCTTCTCTAGTTTAACTCACAGACAGTAATTTTCTCTAGTTTAACTCACAGACAGTAAACTTCTCTAGTTTAATTCACAGACAGTAATCTTCTCTAGTTTAACTCACAGACAGTATTTTTCTCTAGTTTAACTTACAGAGGGTAATTTTCTATAGTTTAACTCTCATGCTGTCTGTGTCTGCATTTTATTAGGCCCGCCCCCGTTTCCCTTTGAAAGTGCTGAGTTTCCATTTTTGTTAGATCTGGATGATTTATCTTTTTTTTTTCTGTTTTCTTAGCGTTCACCATCTGTAAACTCCGCCTTCATGCTCTGGTTCTTTATCAATTTCTGGACTTTGGTTTTAAATAAACTGGAGTTTAGGGTGCACATACGTTTGACTTATTTGGCTTAATTGTAGGCAGATTGTGAATACCTCACCTTTCAGGCATTTGCACACTCACTTCGAAGGATACACTCCTAATTAATAGACTTTTATGACATGTTGGAGAGTGGGGTGGGTCTAACCCCCCCCCCTTCCGCCACAGGGCACTATAACCAACGTAGATGATGCAGACGACATTACGTAAGGTCCCTTATATAACTTATACAGGCTTCATTATCACCGTAATGCATGTCGTGTGGGCTAGATGTGTGACTTGATACCCGTATAATTATCTACATAAATCACTTATCTGGTCATCTAGCTGATCAATGTATGGTCATTTCTTGGGAATGCAATACATTATTTATTCGGTCACCTTACTCATTAGCCTATAGTGGATCTTGGATGTGTTAGAAATAATTTGCTGGGTTGTCCAGGTCATCAAAGTATCAGTTAACAGAAAGTAAAGACAAGGAGAGACACAACGAGATAGTCAACACATGGACGGACACATCAAACTCGAAATAGAAAACTGATTCACAACCTTCAGGACACAAGCAATGAATGGTTTTTTTTTCCTACTGAATTTGTCATGTTGGCTGTCAAATCACTACAAACCTGCACCCGATTTGATATCCAATCAAAGAAATGAAAAGCACTGGGTAAATAAAGCGGTGCGAGGACAGATGTATGGTCTCAAAACAGATTAAGGGAGAATGGTTCAGAATGTATGAATCACAGACGCATGATTTCCCACGATGATGCAGCTATTAATAGGCTAGAGGTTTGCATTGTTCAAATCACCCCAGTGTAAACATGAGTCACCTGGAAATACCCGTACCTTCTTGGTGGTTTTGTCCTCGGTTGCTTGGTTATGTCAGTGTGCCAAAGTACGCAGGTGGGAGAGACTAGTATGGGTGGGATGGCAAAGAGCTACTGCGTCCGTCTATAGCTCCAGCAGACCAGGTATGCAGCACTCGGTGGATATTCAAAGAACGAATGAATCAGCGATGATGTGTTATCGCCCCTCCCCCCACCACAATGCCGCCTCCATCCGTTCTTTCTTTTACAGCACTCCCAACACGACAAGTTCATAGCTAATTGGCATTGACTGCATCTTATTGGGGGAAACGTCAGCCACCCTTAAAACCAACCTCCTCTCGTCGCCTCTTATGACATTCTTGGTACTGTTAGATGATTGTTTTCTTCGCTCAACCACCTTGAGCATACAGGACGACTTTCCTCTAGTTTTATATCATGGAACTTGAACAAGCGGTGTTCCTGTTAAGTCCCCAGTAAAGAAGTAGGACATGTTGCAGGACATTTTCTGAATCTAATTTAAAGTGGACGCCTTGCAGCCCAAGTCATTATTTCAAAACCCGATGCACTGCCTGAGACACTGCATGAGAGGCGAGCGACTAGCCACTGCGCAACCGCGGCTCCCCAACATGAAGATACAGCTAAGTAACCACTCAGGGTATCCGGCCTCCGCCCCACGATATACCCAGAATGAGACTGTGGCCGTGACAGGACGCAAGCAAGGAACAATAATACGGATGTATTGCATACCGGTTCATGTAGCCAGATACCATTGGGTGTGCCCATCCTGCAGGGATGTCAGTTCAAGGTAACAAGTTACACGACCCAGGGCTACCAATGCTGCGTTTTTCCCCCAGATCTGGGTTTTTATTTGACGCCTTGGGGAAATCTGTTTTTTATTTTTTTATATATCCTTATTTAAGAGGTAAATGTTTCGTTTCGTAACTATCCATCTTGTACATTTTCACAATCTGGCTTTTTAATTTTGTTTTTGTTTGTTCTTTGTCTATGTATTGCTTGAGTTTTTGTTTGGCGAAGCTGGGTTTTTCAAAAAAATCCCA